TGGCTCTTCCTATGTGAATGAGAGGTGACTCCACCTGCAAGGCCCAGGTGGACTTGCAGAGGTGTAATGAGACACAGAAAGGAGAAGCACAGATAGACTGGACACAGCTGGAAGCAGCTAGAAGCTGCCCAAAGGCTTCTAAGAGCTGGACTACAGGGAGAATGAAAATATCCATAGTTCAGGAGCTAAGGGTGCTTCACAAAGGGTGGCCTTTTCACCTCTATCCTGTGCTTCTTTCTTTCTAAGTCACATTGATAGTGTACATGAAATATATTTTGAGCGTTCAGCTTAAATGATGGAGCACTCTGTCCTTATCTACCCAGATTTCGAAACAACCTCTTTATTTGTATTCTTTTCCCAGCACAGCATCCGGGACAAAGTAAGTGCTCTGTGAAGCTTTGTTGAAACGAGCCTCCTTCTTACTTTCTTCTGAGTTACTGGTAAACTCCAGCGTGAGATTCCAGTCCCTCAAAGTGAAGTCAATATTTTGTTCTTAAACAGAGCCTGTGCGGGACCTTGGCGATTTGCTCTCTACTTTCGATTGTTTTGTTTTTGCCTTTTCAGATTACTTGATTGTTGTTTGATACCTTATAAAGGTTGAAGAATGTAGTTGATTTTATTCACTGCCATGTAGCAAATAGGTGTCTCAGATTTAACAGATGCATTTATAATCCCATTAGCTAGTGTAGTTTAAGATGTGTGATGAGTTAATACCCAAGACAAGTAATATGTCTAATTCCATTCTCCTTTCTCTGTGTATCTTTCCGACAGAGCTCTCAATCCCATTGATAAAAGCTCTGAGGACACCTACAGATCCCACACTAAGAATTCAGTTCGGGTCCTCGACAGATGGGCATCAGTGTCATCTACTAGTGTCATCTAGCTAGCAGGATGGAGACCACGCCTTTAAAGTCCCAGAAGGACCTGTCAGCGTGTAAGGATGGAGATGATTGTCAGGAGAATGGAATGCTGCAGAAGGGTGTCCCCACCCCTGGGGATAAAACGGAGTCTGGCCAAATCTCCAATGGGTACTCAGCGGTTCCAAGCCCCAGTGCAGGCGACGACACCGAACACTCCATCCCGGCCGCCACCACGGCCCTAGTGGCTGAGATTCATCAGGGGGAACGGGAGACCTGGGGCAAGAAGGTGGATTTCCTCCTGTCGGTCATTGGCTATGCCGTGGACCTGGGCAACGTCTGGCGCTTTCCCTCCCTATGTTACCAGAATGGAGGGTCAGTATCA